ACCAGGAAGAGGGAAGGCCAGACACAACCCCTTGAGGCCCCCCAGGTCTCTGGAAGCCAGAGCTACAACCAGTGGCTGAGTTCCTGACACCAGGAAGATAAGAGAATGGAGGCCTGAGGCTTTCAATACTGCTGTTTAGTTTCTTGCTACCCTAAAATATTTATGCTAATAATTAACATTTATGTCCAGCCACAGCTTCCTCTGTTGAATTTTTAAAAGAGATTTTTTTATTCCATTTATTTATTTAGAGAGTGTATGTATGTCTGTGTGTGTGTGACTGTGTCTGTGTGTGTGTATGTCTGTGTCTGACTGTGTCTGTGTGTCTGTATATGTGACTCTGTGTGTGTCTCTGTGTGTGTGACTGTGTCTGTGTGTGTGTGTCTGTGTATGCCTGTGTGTCTATGTGTGTGACTGTGTATCTGTGTGACTGTGCACATATTCTATGGTATATTGTGGAGGTCAGAGGAACTTGTAGAATCTCCTAGGAATCAAATCAGGCCATAGGCTTAGCAGCAAATGCCTTTACCCACTGAGCTGCCTTGCTGGTCCTAGTGGCTTCTGTGCCCCATGTCCTAGATCTAAGTCACTTCCTATGAGGAGTCACAGCTCTGACTGAATGAGTGGTTAGAGCTTCGGCCACACCTGAACAGGTACAGCCGCAGCAGGAGGCTGGTTTCATTATCTAGAGTCCGTGGCTATGTCCTCATGTCGTTACCACCCCTAGGCCTTGAGCAAACCGCTCTGCTCCTCCGTGACTTATCTGTAAAACCCCAAGCCTGGACCAAATGATTAGTAAGAACCTTTGTCTCCATCTGTGATAGATTCCGGATGAGAGACAGAGAGAGAAGACAGGGACAGCCCTAATGAGGGCTCAGGGAGGCAGCGCCAGAGTCTATGCTCAGGATATGAGTTCTGGCTGTTTGGCCCAACAGGTACTGGGGGAGGGTACCCAAAAAGAATCAGCCTCGAAGAGCAGCCCCTGTGTGTGCTGATGCTCAGAGGGACTAGCGGAGCCCTGCCCCCAACCAAAGCCTTGAGGCAGCAATGGGTAATTCTTTTTACCTTCTCCCTTGCAAAGCCAAACTAGGCACGCTGCTGCCCTGCTGCAGGGGTACAGTGTTGGCCAAACTCCCGGTGACTTCCCAGAAGTCCAGGGTCCCCGGGGACTGGCTCCACCCTAGCTGGCAGTCCTCCAAGCTAGGCACCCACGTCAGCAGGTCCTCGTGGCTTCTTTGCCCTTTCATCCAGTGACAGTAAGACAGACAAAGGGATAGGCATGCTCACCCTCGGCCCCAGATGAAAAGCGTCTGTCTCCAGGGCATCTCCCTGTTCTCACTGATACCTCAGCTGGCTCAAGATAGTGCCTGTGGCTGAGGCTTCACGTGGAATGTGCTTCCCTCTGGGCCTCAGTTTCCCCTCCTGATGTGGCACTGGCATGAATACAGAGTGAGAAATGCCTGGAGGTCATAGCCAACTCAAAAGGACCCTCCAAGGCTTCTCCACTCCAGTCGCAAAACTGTCAGTCACAAGTCACAAGAGTGACCTTGGGGGTTGTTCATGAGGACAAAGTTAAAAGTTTATTCTAAGGGTGAGCGTTCTGATTAGTGAGTCTGACTTGTGGTAGGGAGTGAGGGCCAGCCTGGCCATCTGCCCTGCAAAGGTCAAGCATTGGCTCTGCCCCTGGTAGGAGCCTCTGGTCAGGCCTGGATGAGTCACTCAATTTGCGAGTTACTAAGTTGGGGGTGCACTTATGACTAAAGGTAGGCTCTGAGTACTGCTCCCCCCCTCGGGGGTGGGGAGCTGAGCAGAAGCAGAAGGATGAAGGGGGAAAGCACTGTGGGGGAGGTAGAGGCACTTCTGGGTGCCAGGTGAGGATCCAGGGCAGTGTCTGAGGGCTACAGCCAGCAGGGTGGAGCAGGAGAGCTGTTTTGTAGGCAGCCTATCCAGGCACAAGAAGCCTGGCAGGTGGGCCCTGGGTTTTCCTGAAGAGCAGTAGTCTTTAATGGAACCCAGAGCAAGCTGGGGAGGGCTAGACAGGTGCTTTGGAAGGGTTCCTTCCTCTGGGGGTGGCTACGGATGGTTTTACACACACACACACACACACACACACACACACACACACACACACACAGAAGTCTGTTTTCAGATGATTCTCCAAGGGCCACTCACAGTTGAACACTCCACAGACTCCAGAAAGCTTCCCCATTTGTCTCCTTCACTTCCTGAGGCAGATCTGGACAAGTGCTTAAGGCATGGGCCTGGACCCCAAGTACAGACAAGGCAAATGAGCCCAGAGACAGAAAGAGATTTGCCCAGGGTCACACAGCTGGGGCCATAACCATGCTGTATGCTCTGTGTAGAGCTCTGACCCCAGTGTCATATCCAGAGAGGACTGGGGGACCCATACACAGTGTGGTGCTGGTCTGGGGGACAGGAAAGGACAGGATGAGACTCTGAGCTAGCTGGTGGCATGCCCAGCTGTCGAGGTGAGTTGTGGTATGGCTGTGGGGCCGAGCTGGCGTGCACAATCTGTTCTCACTCCACAGGGGTGCGGGCAGGCTAGGTACCATGGCTCAACTGCACAGCCCTGGCAGAAGGACACGACCACTGGCTAGAGGCTACAGTGGGGGCAGGGAAGCCATTCTAAGGACAGTCTTAAAGCCTTCACCCCACAAACGTCTGTTCCCAGACTTCTCTGAGCTTTAGAATCCTAACGGCTAGCCCTAAGCTGGCAGAGGAGGCTCCACTGGAATGCAGCTGCTCCCAAGTCGGGCAATCTCTTGGAAACGTGAGAGTACTCTGCCACCTCCTTCATTATTAATCAGAGTGTTATTGTTGGGCATTTGAGATGTCCCAGGCTCTAGGCTAAGTGCATCAATACATTATCTCACTTATTCTTCCAGCACCCTTGCTGCAAATGATATATTAGCCCCATTTTACAGATGTGAAAATTAAGGCTCAGAAATGTCTTATATAGATGGGAAAATTTGAACTCTGATCGGGCAATGCTCATAATATCCTGATCTGCAATGTAGTTGTGATGTGTATATTGGGACTCCCTTGTAAGGTAGAAGTTTGAGGGGACCATTACAGGCTCGCTGGGGCTCCCCTCAAATTAATGCTTAGCTTTGTGTAGTTGGGAGACCTGGAGTTCATAAATAAGCCTTCTCAGAACTACCTAAATAAAGCACTAATCACTTTCAGCTAGAAGGAACCCAGGAAGCCTGCCTGGAAGAAGTGGTGTTTGGTTGGGATTTCCTAAGACTCAGAAAAGAAACAATCCTGCTCACATTCTTTCATTCTCATAATTCTCTTAATAAAAACTGAAGTGTTTATGCTTACTGGTCTGGTGGGAGAAGCACGTGGCCAGAACAGATTTCATTTTCAAATAAAAAGACAAGATCAAAGAGAGAGTGTCATTTGTTCAAGGTCACAAAACCACTAGTGATAAAGCCAGAACTTGTGCCCAAGGCTTCTGGTTCTCATCCAAGGTCCTTCCCGACTCCTCACCTCCCCCGCTGCCCTGCCCCTGCCCCAGATTTCCAGGAAGATTTTGCTGTTGTTACTGCTTTGAGAAGGGTTAGTAGCCCAGACTGCCTCTCCAACTCTCATTCTCCTGCCTCAGTCTCCCTGGTTACAGGCATGCACCACTATACCCAGCTCAGGGCAGAACCTTTGACAGTTATTTGATGCTCAAGAGGGGCGGGTGTGACTCTGCTTGGCTCCCAGATGGGAAGAGTCCAAGCACAAATGTGGAGGACGGAAGCAGAAGAAGGGAGGACCACAGAGACAGTCTAGCTGGTGACAGGAGCACACCTGAAGGACACTCGAGACCCCTGCCTTGCCAATGGCGATGTCACACGCGTCCGCACACACACACACACATGCACACACATGTACACATGTGTGCACACACACAGGCATGTGCGCTCACACACAGTCACACACATGTACACACATGCGTGCACGTGCACACGGGGACATGCATGCACACAGACATACGTGTAGGCTCACACACGCACACACGTGTGCACACACAGGAGCACACACACACATGCACACGGACATTCGCACACACACAGACAGAGCCTACTTTTGGACCAAATCCATAAGAAGACCCCAGTCTCAGACAGGGTGGAAACCCGGGAGTACCTATTAATTCAGCTGTGGGGATAGGGTTGGGGCATTGCCAGGTCATCTGCCTAGGGAAATGGCAAGTTGCCAGTGGCCACCGCACCACCACCAATAAGCCTTGGCTGCAGCAGGGAAACCATCATGAAGCTATGTGTGCCTCAGTTTCCCTCCCTCCACACTGAATCGCCATGTCAGAAACCATTCCATCCAAATACCTGCTCTCACAGTCACGGGCACGGAGGCTGGCAGAGGGCAGGGAGCATGGCAGAGCCCACAGGTATTAGACAGGAAGCCAGCTCTCAGCTGACCACCTGCCATTCACACACATACATTACCTCCTGCCTGCGGACAAACCTGCCAGCAGAACCAGGAGCCGGCTCCTGCCAAGAGACACGAGACACTCATGTTTTCAAGAAAACAGATTCAAGTTCAAACTCGGATTGCTAAACTTCCGGGCAGTGTGACCTGGAAAGTCTCCGCCTTCTGGAATCATCATCTAAGTGCGTCCAGTGTTACAAACGAAAGGTTAGCCCAAAGTGAGGAACACAGATGTGCCCACGCGTGGAAAAGCAGATTCAATAGCCAAGTGCGGTGGCGTCAGACATGGTGGTGCAAGTCTGTTTGTTACCCTAGCACTTAGAAGGTGGAGGCAGGAAGATGAATGTGGTGGGTTCAAAGCCAGTCTGCTCTACAGATTCAGAGATCCAGGCTAGCCATGGCTACATATCTAAACCCTAGCAAAGAAAGAACTGGGGGAATGGGGGAAGGCAAATGCAAAACCTGCAAGGTGAGGAGGAAAGGAGGAGGGACCCCTGCCAGGCCAGCCCCACATCCTGTGCTTTCTCTCCTCTCCCGGATCTCTCCAGGCTATGGTCATGCGGCGCCCAGCACGGACGGAGGCAAGGTGTTCTGCATGTTCTACGCGCTGCTGGGCATCCCGCTCACACTGGTCATGTTCCAGAGCCTGGGTGAACGCATCAACACCTTCGTGAGGTACCTGCTGCACCGTGCCAAGAGGGGGCTGGGCATGCGGCACGCCGAGGTGTCCATGGCCAACATGGTGCTCATCGGTTTCGTGTCGTGCATCAGCACGTTGTGCATCGGCGCCGCTGCCTTCTCCTACTACGAGCGCTGGACCTTCTTCCAGGCCTATTACTACTGCTTCATCACCCTCACCACCATCGGCTTCGGCGACTACGTGGCGCTGCAGAAGGACCAGGCGCTGCAGACGCAGCCGCAGTACGTGGCCTTCAGCTTCGTGTACATCCTCACGGGCCTCACGGTCATCGGCGCCTTCCTCAACCTCGTGGTGCTGCGATTCATGACCATGAACGCGGAGGACGAGAAGCGTGACGCGGAGCACCGCGCGCTGCTCACGCACAACGGCCAGGCTGTCGGCCTGGGTGGCTTGAGCTGCCTAAGCGGTAGCCTGGGCGACGGCGTGCGTCCCCGCGACCCAGTCACGTGCGCGGCGGCCGCGGGCGGCATGGGTGTGGGCGTAGGTGGCAGCGGCTTCCGCAACGTCTACGCTGAGGTGCTGCACTTCCAGTCCATGTGCTCGTGCCTCTGGTACAAGAGCCGCGAGAAGCTGCAGTACTCCATCCCCATGATCATCCCGCGGGACCTCTCCACGTCCGACACGTGCGTGGAGCACAGCCACTCGTCTCCAGGAGGCGGCGGCCGCTACAGCGACACGCCCTCGCACCCCTGCCTGTGCAGCGGGACGCAGCGCTCGGCCATCAGCTCGGTGTCCACGGGCCTGCACAGCCTGGCTACCTTCCGCGGCCTCATGAAGCGCAGGAGCTCGGTGTGAACCACAGCCAGGCCTGGAGCACCTGTGAGCCAGCGGGGTGGGGGACCTGCCTGCAGAAGCCGCAGGAGTTGGCCAGGAGGCCCCCCCAAAGACGCCTTCGGGCCCCATGGGAAGTCCCCAGCCCATCACCACCACCACCACCTCTACTCTTCCCCAGCCCCTAAATCTCCAACTGTGCGGGCTTTCACCAGCCAGCAGGAGGCCGGGCTCTGAGGACCCCTGGAGCCCCCATCGGAGCCTGAAGAATTCCGAGAAATGTGAAACTTAGGGGGTGGGGAGACGACGGGGAAAGCAGCCACGGGGAGCTGCTGAGAAGCTCCCCAGTCCTCAGAGGCTCTGCTGGGCCCCAGACCCCTCACCTTCCGAGGGAACTAATGTTCTCGGGTTTTGTTTTCTGTTTTGGTTCGTGTTCTCTCTCTCTCTCTCTCTCTCTCTCTCTCTCTCTCTCT